ATATATATATGTATAAACATATATATGAATGGCCACCATTTTGAAATATTAAAGCAAAAAGATTTGAATCTAAGCACAAAAAAGAGAAACAGTTCTGTCTCAGTTTCCCCTGCATTCTTCATTTTCTACTGTGATTTGTATGAGGTGAAGCTCCTGTCGACACCATGTGGGCACTGCTCTTCACCCTTATCAGCCATGGTACATTAAAAGCCAGATAAACACATTCACCAGCAGCCTGACAGCCGCAGGCAACCAGTCCTGACATTTTAGCTACCCTGTGGTGATATATGACCCCAAAACTGGAACCCGTAGTCCCAAAGTGCACTCATGTTAAAAAAAGGGGGGGAGAACATTGCTTCTGGAAACACTGTTCCCTAATACATAACTTTAACCTAGTTGAAGATGCCATCCCGGTATATTAAAATAAGAAATTTAAGAAATGGGTTTCAACAAAAGGATCACAGCCATTAAATATCAATACTCAACAGCTCCTTTGCATATTTATGAATAAGGAGAGTGTGCCCTCTTCTCAGAATATCAATTGAGACTGTAACTTTGGTGATTTATCCATTTTTCTATTTGAAAAATAAGTAAAATTTTAAAGGATTAAGAGGAAGTCAACGCAAACAGCAGGTTAGGACTATAGATCACMCAGGGGTCAAATTTGAACAAAGAGGTTAATTCATATACAATGTGAAGAATGTTTACCACTTCRATTGAAATATAGTTACACTCAGAAATTGTATTTGTTTTATAGCATGATGCATTTTACAGACTTACCTTCAGTACACCCTTACAAGATAATATTAAACATTACTAATTTTTCATATTATATGTATAGTGTAAAACGAGAATGTAACTAAACTTCAGTTTCTGTGAAAATTTTTTGCTTAACGATTTTGCTGAAATTTAGAGTACATTTATAGGGTTTTCCATGTTGTGGTTGCTGCTTTCTATCTTCAGAGCATTGTGCGAGAGGTGGGTACACCTACCATATGGAATAACAAGCCCATCACAGGGACACACAGAGACATACAACTGTTCACACTCGCTCACACACACACACAGGCACACACACTAAAGGACAATTTGGAGTTGCCAATTAACCCAACAAACAACAAAGAGAAAATCCACACGTTCAAGTTAAAACAAGCAAATCAGAGGTTTAAATTCTCAAAACAAATGCTAAAGCTAAAATTTGTAAAAACAAATATTGAAGCTAAAATTAGCAAAACTGTCATTTAAATTAGCTAAATAAATGAAACTAGTAAAGTCTTAGCTAAAGGTCGCACAACTGTGGCTCAGGTAATTGTCAAAAATCCCCATAAACACATTCCTAAACCTTGTGGACAGCCTTCAGAASAGCYGACGCTGTTCTAGCTGCAAAGGGTGGACCAACGTCATATTGAACCATATGGATCAAGAATGGGATGTCACTTAGGTTCTGTCAGTCAAGGTAGGTGAATACTTTTGGCAATATAGTGTGGCAGATAGGTAACTAATGACAGCTGCATAGTAAAAGTAGTGAACAGCAGCAAAAAACTAAAAGTAGCACAAGAAGAAGACAAAAATAGACAAAAAAATTTGATGAAGCAGATTTTCAAAACAGAACTCTTTGTATTAACTGCAGTAGAGTCATGTCCCGAGTCTTAGTTGCATTAAGGTCCAACGCTGTCCCAGCAGGTTGTCGTCTCCACTAAATCCTAGCAACCAGCCTCCCATCCACCTATATGTTCGCTGGCTGTGAATTAAGTCTCAGATCAAACACAGGATTCTTCTCCTTGCCCTCCAGTCCCTTCAGACTCTTTCCTCTCAGCATGTTTCTAATTTTATTCACCTTCACACCACTTCCCAACGTCTCCACCACTCTATCACTGAGCCTATCTTCATTTCCTTTGACCTGCTTCAGACAACTGATGGCCAGCTTTCTAGAGCCCACATCGTTTTAACTTTTACTCAGTGGCGGCTGGTCGATAGGGGGCACTAGGACACCGCCCCACCACTACTCTTGGTTCACAAAAAATTTTAAAAAATAAAATAACAAAATAAAATCTTATAAATGTTTCAAAAAATATGGTATATATGTTTTCTGATAAGTAAAATAAATAATTTAAAGTTATTGAAATGGAAACTTCCATTTTACTCATGAACTTTTTCGTGTTGAGCCACTTCTGGGTCGCTGTTCGCCGCTCCAGACTCCCATAGGC